AAGTTTATATTTATGTATGTCACTTGTGTTGTTCTCTTTGAATTTTTCATCTCAATAATGGCATTGATATCATTCTTAGGAACTTTTTAACTACTGTAACAGCACTTGTGGCCATTTTCATGGACACTTATAAATCAAATATAGTGATAGTTGTGCCGTTCTCAGAAAAACTTTCATCTCAATAACGATACAAGTGTCATTGTCATACACAATTGATGATCTTATCTTAATAACGGCACAAGTGTTGTTCTCATGGACTATTAAATTTATAATTGTAACAGCAGTTATGCCATCATTGGATGCTAGACTTACAATTAATGAGCATATTTCTCAACTCATATTTATAGATAGAACAACGGAATGGACGTTTTCATATCAGTGACGACTCTTATGTCGTTCTATTGATTTTTCCTATATTTTGATTTTATTCCAGCACAACGATTTCATATATTGAACCCCCTAATGAATTATAAACATTTTTATCTGAGTAATGATGTTTGCTCTATTCTCATGAAATTTTGTAACAAACATGAAAACACTTAAATCGTTCTTATAATTCTCTTATAAGTTCAGTAACGACACTTGTATAATTTGCATGCATACTTATATTTCTAATAACGTAACACGTGCCATTATCATGAAACAATAACAAATTAGAGATAGATGTATAATTAAAACGCAAATATTTAATTTAAAAGATATTAACAAAAATGTAGGAAAAATCAACAAAATAGCACAAGTGTCGTTATTAATATGAAAACGACCCTTGTGCCATTATGGTGTTGTTTGAGCCTCCTTTTTTTTCAACAAATGAATTTTGTAATAGAGTTGTAATGGGGAATGTATGGTTAAAAAATAAGAAAAAGTTTTAAATTTGTGTCTAATATTATTTTATTGAAAAACTTGTGGTTAAAATAAGATCAAATTACTGTTCAAGAATACATTTTGATGAAAAATAAGGCTCAAACAAAGACTATACGTGTTAACACGAGTAAAAGCAGCTACGTTTAATCTATATTCTGCGAACTAATAGTGGAACTCATTTACGTTATTTATGACATTGTCAAACTTTTTATATTACATATGTTAGGGAGTCCATTATTAAATGTTGTTTTATTGAAAAAATCGGGGGCTTGTTTGGGAGCGATTTTTCACCCAAAAAATTGATTTTTTGATTGTTATTTCACTATTTCAGCTGTCATATATGACTTCTTCTCTCACAGATGGACCCCACTTTTTCCTAACGGTCAAAAAATCAATTCTCAAAATCACTCCCAAACAGGCTCCGAATGTTGGCGAAAATTTCGTAACAACACTAATGCTGTTATGCATATAATTATGAGTATAAGGAGTTATGGTCCATTCATTTCCTAAAAATAATAACTGAAACTTATTTACATTGTAATATGTACATGACACGTACAAAAATTGATAGATATGTTTATTAATTTAATCGATACATATAAATTTGATAACTTGTATTTTCATCATCTCAATAATATAAAAATTATATGTTGTTTTAATCGTTCTTTGTAACTAGTCAATATTTTTGTATTATATACGTTAGTGAATCCATTATTAAAGTCATTTCTTTGAAAAAAATAAACTACAGCAGATAAAGATTGTAGTGTCATTTTACTTTACAGATAACGGTTGGAGTGGTGTTCTATATTTCAGAAAGTAATTGTAGTGTTATTACAACCAATGGTAGCAAATAACACAAAAAGCACACTAAATACGCAAACAATACCAACTAAATATTATTTAATACTATATTTAATAATAAAAATACAACATAGATGAGATTTCTAAGAGCATCTTTTCTCTCTTTTTTTCTATATAAATGTATGTTAACCAAACTCTTGTTCAAATGTGATCGAAGAGAAGAAAATAGGTGAATGTAATTTTGAGAACTTAAAATTGAAGAAGATGAACAGAGGAAGAATATGTTATTTTCAAAAGAAAAAAAAAAGAACTTAGGGTTCTAATGTGCATTTGAAGGAAAAATGATGAGATGAAATGAGAAAAATTGGAAGACATTAAATTAACAACTAAAGGAGAATTTTGTCATTTTGCCAACTAAAATATTTTACATTTTTCATTTGTTTTTATTATTGGTCAAATGTCATTTCATCAATTACATTGTTTAGTTGGGTCAAATGGCCAAATTCCCCTTCTTAAATTCACCACATTTTATTTGCAATAAACATTCCTAACCTTCGCTTATTTTTTGCACTTATATTTTAGACTTTTTCATCACATTTTTATCTTCAATCTTCTATGAATTTGTAGATCTTGTCTTTAATAATGGCTTATATTCAAAATTGATGTTAGAAAAGCGCAAAAACTTATTTGGAATTTGAAATAAACAATAAATATAGAAGTATGACAAAATGCATGAGCCTCATCTCGATGTAGGTTAGAAAAATATTTGGAATATATAATTATGAAACAAGATGTTTTAATTTATTGAAATAAAAAATAGAACACGATAAAAATGTTAATATTTATTTATTAAGGACTTTCTTTGGAATTAAATATTGAATATAAATAAAAAAGAGAAAAAGTTAACGTGGACGATTGTACCTAACAAACCGGACTCCCAGAACGTCGTAACTCGTACGACATCGTACCCTTCTCCGGCAATACAGATCCCGTAGTTATATAATTCTTTCTATATGTAACGAGGTGACACAAAAAGCTGGAGGTTTGGATTTGTCGAAAAGGGTATGCAATAAGTCTCTTTCTAATTATTTTAAATTATTACTCTTCTCGAATTTTTTTTGTGTGGTTTTGATTAGCATTAATAATATATATGCTTTGACACATTGCTGTCTACGTGTTTCCTGTAACAGTTTAGCGATCCCTTGATCGAAATCCATGTATTATATACGTTAGTTTTGTGGGTTATTATTTATTTTGATGTTCGATTGAAGATTGATTTTAATTTATATTCACAATCGGTTAATTTACTCTGCTTCAGCCTTAATGTGAAAATATTTGTCAAGAAACTTGGTGATCAACCTCTGCTTTTTTGAGGATCTGTAGTTTGCTCGTCTTTGTCGAAATTGGCCTGATGCTGTAGACACCATCGGAGTGAACTTATTAATTATGCAGTAATTGTCAGATTATAGATTTGTGAACTGGAGTATTCAGAAATTCTGAGCTTGGGTTGGGTGGGTGGGTTGGGGTTATCTATCCAAGATATGGATGCTACCGGATAATCCCAACCTAGACAAAAAATCAGGGCTTATTTGTGGATGTGGTCATAAAAACTGGAGAGGAACGCTCTTTTCTTTCTTGTTTATTTGGGTAGAAATCAAATACTCTTCACAGGTATTGTATAATATGGCTCAGAATAGTAGTTTTTGTGGTTAGTAGGGAGATTGAGGGTCTTTCTTTCTTTCTGATTATTGAGAGAGGCATTGAACAAAAGTTGATAACTAAGAGTTATAGGGACAAGGATCACACTGTTGCTGCTGTTTACAGGGCTGTGGCATGCATAGTTATGGTTTGTCACAAATCAAGAGCCATTTGTGCTATTACTGCCTATACTATTGATACAAATATGACAAAAGGCCATTATGGTTTCTCTTACCTTTCCTTATGCTAGAATATCAAGATGAGTACAATAGGTGATTCTTGTTACCAGATCTAATTACCTGTTGGATCCCCAATGCTTATTCTAGCACAAACAGGGCCATTTAGAACAACTAAGAATTAGATTAGTCGGGCCTCAATCAATCTAAGTGACCCTTCAATATCAGATTCCCCTTGAGTCTACCTTCATCTCTGATAAGCTAAATAAAATGACTTCTTTGCTCCTAGTTATAATTATTTTGTAAGGTCGGCTTTTGTTATTTCCTTTATTTTCTCATCTGATTGGTTAATACGGGCTTTTAAAACAAGATGTGGATACTTTTGGAGTTCTAAGATTTTAAACTGATGCACTGATGATTTTTGATTTATACTCTTGGTCAAGATGACTTGCAATGTCGGAATTAAAAGTGATTTGAAGTTATTCTTGTCATTTTATAGGATTCTTGGTAGGTACTTATGGCTTACACAAATGGAATTGTGAGTGCACAATGTAAGCAGCCTCTTCTTTCATTTGGCGTGATATCGGATGTCCAATATGCTGATATTCCTGATGGCCGCTCATTCCTTGGTGTTCCTCGGTATTACCGACATAGTATTCTTGTTTTGCAAAGGGCAGTCCAGAAATGGAATGAGCAAAAGCCAAAGTTTGTGATCAATTTTGGGGACATTATTGACGGCTTCTGTCCAAAAGACCAATCTCTATCTGCTATTAAAAAGGTCATCGATGAATTTAATGTTTTCAATGGCCCTGTATATCACATGATTGGCAACCACTGCCTCTATAATCTCCCTCGTGAAAAGTTGCTTCAAATGCTGAATATTCCTAGCATTGATGGTCTTGCCTACTACGATTTTTCTCCAATTCCAGAATACCGAATTGTAGTCCTCGATGGCTATGATATAAGCGCTATTGGTTGGCCAAAGGATCACGAAAAGACATTGAAGGCCTTGAATTTTCTTCGGGAAAGGAATCCAAATTCAGACAAAAACAGTCCAAATGGATTAGTGGGGCTTGAGAGAAGATTCCTTATGTTTAATGGAGCAGTTGGGAAAGAACAATTGGAATGGTTGGATCACGTCCTTCAGGATGCAACAAATTCTAACCAGAAAGTTGTGGTATGTTGCCATCTGCCGTTAGATCCCGGTGCAGCAACTAAAGAAGCTCTCTTGTGGAATTATGATGAAGTGATGTATGTGATTCACCGATACAATTGCGTAAAGGCCTGTCTAGCTGGACATGACCACAAAGGTGGACATTCAGTTGACTCCCATGGTATACATCATCGGGTACTTGAAGCTGCCTTGGAGTGCCCTCCAGGAACCGATGCGTTTGGATTGGTTAATCTTTTTGATGACAGATTACAACTAGCTGGAGCGGATAGAATGGAGAGCCAGGAAATGGTTTTCAGTTGCTAGATGTACCAAAGAGTGTAAGCTTGTAATCTGCTACTTTCTTTATTCAACATGACCATCATTAGCTTTAGAGGTGTGTACTTTTATTCAGAAAGATACACAAAGATTAGAAATTCTTATTTACTAAGCCCAATTCGGTTGCGAGGAACTTTTTGAAATGTTGTACCTGTCTTCACTTTTATTTTGCACTCATGCTCGAATTTGTTAACGCATTATATCATCTCGTATTCGTTGAATGCTTTATTATTACTTCTACCAACAAATCTAATTAACACGAATGAACTTCAGAGCATTTTGCTTTGAGTTTTGAAGTATAAGCCTAGATTGTTGTCAACTATTATAGGTTAACCATATCGTCTCTTATTATATTCATCAGATGCTTATCTTTTATGTCATATGATATAATAAATGTTGATTTGGTTCATACTATCGTACTGATGTTAGACAACTAGCACATCTCATATTAAGAATAATATCCTGGAGTTGAGTAATAAAATTCTCAGTTACCTGTTATTTATTTATTTATTTTTTTACTAAATGACGTTTCCAGATATCATAGAGGAGCGAATTTTCTTCACCGTGACATTAATAGAGTTGATATCTATCTCTTTCTTGCATTTTACTAGCTTTTTCTATGTCTCTGCACGTACATATGAGGTGTAGCTGAAATAAATAAATCAGCTGTATAATGACAGCATTATTTCATGTCAAAGCTACATATAAATAATCAATTTGTCGTGGATCCTGCAAATTTAGGTCAATTAATTAGTTGCTACATCCTCATCGTTGACTTTAGGAAAGTGCCATGCATCATCTTATATATAAAGTCAATGATAGATTCATAGATAATCTGTGTGCTGCCTTTCTCTTCATACTATAAGAAATTTGTTTATTTTAATTTACATGATAATAATTGTCTCTCTTTCTTTTTTTTTAAATACATTTTGAGCTCTGAAACTCTTTATCCTCATCAGATACTAATGAAGCAAGACTGTAAGAGACTGGGCAGAAAACATGGTTATCACAACTTTAATAAATAGAACAGGAGATGATACATATGATCAGTAATTTATTTAACTTCTATAGCCGAGCTTCTCTGCCAAACTTGAATATCATTACAAGAAGGTTTATAAGTCCCTGAAAGGCTCTGTATTAGACTGAGAGCATTTTTTATATTGATTGTTTACATGCAACTGGAGACTTCCAGTTAAATTATAATATAGGAAGAAAACACAACTCGACTATTACAAAGTACTAATAGAACGTAGAGTAGTTTTTGACTAAGGTACTCAAGAGACTGCATCACTTTGCTTGGGACATCTTGGCTTTTCTTTTTTCCAGGAAGAAGAAACCGAACAAAGACACGACAGAGAAAGCAGAGAAGCAAATTGAGGCAATGTCAAGCGACACATGGCGTCCACTAATTGCCTGGACATTGAACAAATTAGTGGTCTTATGAGCATCCGTGGTTTGGCCATAGGCTATCTCTTGGTCTGCAGAGTTATAAACATATGCTCGGACAAAGTATGTAGCAGTTGGCACATCCCTCTCTACTGTCCAGGTGAAGGTGGTGTTAGAGGAACTGTATGGCTTAGTAACAATATGGTGTTGGCAGGTCTTATCTTTGTTTAAGTGGTCCTCAGTTCTTCTCCAGGCTCGATCCTGTTGGCTAACAGCGGCGTAACAGAGCTTGAACTTTACTGTCTTGTAGCTTGAATCTGTCCCAGCTGCTAGGGATTTGTTGAATGAATATGTCACTGTTATATTGTCTTCCCCAGCTTTCAGTACTGCAAATTAGAAATAATTTTAGATGTGAGCAAACATATACTTGTGAGTTGTATCTTAATAGACAAGGCCAGTAATTATCCATCTTGAAATAAATATTACCTTAACTGATTAATCATGATATTTACATTCTGAGACTATTCATGTTATTTTTATTTTCTTTAGCTTCCAGCTAAGTTTATTATTCGCGTTGAAAGAACTCAAGGTGACGTATCACGTCTCCCTCCAAAGTTCTGCATTTTTTGCTTTATTTCGTCATGTTATAGATAAATGCTCTCCACTTACATGATGATTTGATTTATGGCCTATTTGGCAAAGTTTCTACTTTTGTTTTTTGTAAAAGAGTTGTCAGGAGGTCACTTTGGACTAACATTCTCTAAAATATTTTTTAGCCAGACAAAGCACTTTCAAAAAATTATCTAAATAGGTCCAAAAGCAATATTTTAGTCCCATGAGCTTTTGGCTTTTCAAAAGTCATGTCAAACGATGCTAAGTGCAATCTTGATTAAATTAGAGTACACCTACATGTCTGAATTTGTTTTTTAGTGTGTGCACGCTAGGGAGAGGGGGTGGTGAAATATTACCTTGTCCGAGTTTTGGTGAAGCGGTGACTATAAGACTTTTCTGAAGAGATGAGAAGGTTTCTACACCATCAGAAGTGGCTGCCAAGCATGAAAACAGGAGTGAAACAAGAAGAAAACCTTGAATTGCCATTAACTCTATGGAGTTCCAAACAATCAGGGAGAAAGATAATGGAAAGTTATGAAATCCCACTGATGATCTGATGTGCCAAGATGTCTGATTTTTGGCTGCTTTATATAGAGGAGATGCACATTTCAGCACAGAAATGAAGGGTTCTCTTTAAATGTCAGCATCAAAAGTCAACCACTCCCAACGGGCAGGTTTCCTATTTATTTTTACGATCAACAATTAGAATATTTAAGATTAAAATGTTCAACTATTCCATGATTTTTTTATATGGCGAATCGACCGAAGGCATGTTCGAAGGGTTGTTTGATTTTTCAATTATTTCTGATGAATTTGTTTACAAAGTTGACTTTCCTTATACGTTCTTGGATGGACTGGTATATTTTGGAGGTGTTGAAGAATCACAGGTAGAGATTCATTTATAAATTCAATTTGCAGAAAAGACATCGCTCCCCTATTCCTGTTTCCAAGCCTGGCCAAAAAGCAAGGTTGTTCAATTTGATACTGTATGAATTTTTAATTTTTATAGGAAAAACTTGCCCCCCCCCCTCCCCCCCCCAATGCAGTGGAAAGAGTAGATAAACAAGATATAAGGGGAATTTATTTATTTATTTATTTTGTTACTTTTTTAATATTTCGATTATTGTATTAAGTTTATAAAAAGAATTTGCCCAATGGATTATACGCAGTCGTCGTAGAAATACTAAGGATCGGTTTAACATAGCTTTTGCTTCTTGTAGAAAGTTACTTAAGAAAGTTACTTTATATATTTTTTCTAAAAGTTCTTTTAATCATATAAAGTATTTTCAAAAATTTATTTAAACAAGTTCTGAAGCAATTTTTTTTGTCTCAAAAATATCTTTTGACTTTTCATGACTGGTTGAATGAGTCATAAGCTTCTCTTGGCAACCAATTTATAAATCATTTAGGCCCTGTTCTCTTTACCGTTTTCGGGCCGTTTTCTGTTTTCGATTTTTCAAAACGGTGAAAACGTGTTCTCTTTCCTGTTTTCCTTTTAATCATTTTACTATCTAGCCCGTCTAATATTGGTACATACAATTACTTCTATTTGAATCGGTAGCTTTCTACGTTCCGCATCAAATTTGACTTGAAATCTTTATACTTTAAAATGGGTATCTATCTTCTTTTCTCATTTCGGGTTCTTGGAGAGATTTTTACATTTTGTTTAAATAGGAAATTCAAATTTTACCTAAATATGTAAACTAACTAATAACTAATAGATGATTTCCATTTGCACAAAGTTTAAAAGACACTCAACAAACTAATTTGGAAAGTGTTGGAAATAATGGATTAAGTGGCTAACTTTGGCACAAAATTTGAGTGAGACCCAGTTGACTATTTTGAAAGTTCAAGATTGATTTTACGTTCTCCTTCGTGAGAACATCGAAATTATGTATTTACATGTCAAAAATAATGTTCGAGTGAAAGGTGTGCCAATTGAAAATAGTTTATGCTGTTGGAAGGAAAACATTTAAAGTTTGTCCCACATAAGAAAAATATGAAAAGAAATACCACCTTCGAAATAGTGTGATCATATGTAGCATAGAGGCTCTCTTTACGTGCACGCGCAGGAGGGCAAATCGATCCAAAATAAGCTTCGAACATGAAAATTAACCCTTTGGAAGAGCCTACGTTTTGCTAATTTTTTTCTCTAACTGACCATTTGATTTTTAAAACTGTTGAAACTCCGATATTCATTGTCATTATATACCGTTAATGGCATTCATGGTAAATAGCCTATAAATACAACCCGGTTCTCTCAATTCCACACAAGAAGAAAAACGGGAATACAATTTCTCCAAATTTTTCAGAATACAGCTTCTTCATACTGCATAAAGTTTCATATACAGCCTATAGTTTAGTGTCGGTCCAAAAGTTTGTTGGTGGTTCTGTTCAACACAAATTCTATTCGCTCGAGTAGTATTTGAGATGCTCAAATTATACTGTTGATCCGTTGTATCCAGGGAGACAGACGTCCAATTTAATCCTCAAGTAACTACGGTGAGGGGCGAATCTGTTTTAGGGAAATTGTATTCTCACAGGTCTCGATGAATTTTTTTGGCTATTTAGTTTAATTATTCTGTTTATTAAAAAGTAATCTGCATTATTTGGCCGACTAGATCAATTTGTTCAGATTATTTTATTCATTTTATTAAATCTGCTATATTTTGCCTAATTCACTGCTATACAGTAAATGCAAAATTGGTATATGCTAATATGGTAAGTTGTTGAATATACGGTAAGCTATTGCAAATACAATATGTTGTTACAAAAATACAATATACTGTTGCAAATACGATAAGCTGTAAATATAATAATATGCATATACAGTAATTTGTATATACGATAATTTGTAAATATGATATGTACAAATCCAATATCTAAATTGCATATACGGTATTTGTTAATTCGATATTCATTCCTAGCTATTCCATCTAGCACATATAGTCCAACATAAAGAAGATGCTCATTTTAGAGTATCTTAAACCATTTTTCTCTAAAAGAAACCCAAACCAATTTATTACCGCAATTTTGACCACTTAAAAGAGGTGTATTTTTTTATTTTTTATTTATTTATCTATTTTTATTTTTTATTTATTTTTTTTTGGAGAAATTGATTTTTAAATAGTGATTTTCTTTTTTGGAGAAAAAATAGTTGAAAAGTAGGAAAAATTTTGAATTTACTTGCAAAATATTTTATTGTGAGAATATATAGTTGAAAATGAATTTAAAAAGAAAAAGTTTTGTTTAATGGTTGTCAAACTGGGGGGTTAAAATCGGTCATCTCGCCAAGAAAGTGTATTTCGCTAATTACCTATAAAGTTTACCATGCAAGTAAATTAGTAAGTTTATGTTATGTAATTTAAGAGTGAAATAAAAGTACTTAAAGTAAGTATTATTTTTTTGGTACTTGGAGCACAATTGATTTAAAACATTATATTCTTTATATACAAAAAACTCTACTTTAAAGAGTTAATGCTTAAAAATAAGTTTCAAGATACTCCCTACTTTAACTTTTTAAAATATAGAGTTGGCTTTGTTAAGAATTGTAAAAATCATTTTCCTGAGAATTGTAAATTATTGTATTTGATTGGTATAATTTTTCACGTGAAAAATATTGAAATAAAAGTAGTTTTTGCTATTAGTTTGGCTTTGTTTTACATGAAAGTTGTCAATTAAATGAATAGATTTTATTGGTATTAGGGATGAAATTTATTTACATTGCAAAAAAAAAAAAAATCAAGAAAATCATCTATCTTTTGGTGTTCGTTTGACTTTGTTTTACATGAAAATTGTCAACTAAAGGGAAATATTTTTTTACTATAATTCTTAGAATTTGTTTCCACTACTAATAAAAAAAAATTGGTACAGTGACCGCAGAATTCCAATTCAAGGAAAAGGTGGAATTCGGCTGAGGTGGCAAGAAAGTTGGAAATTGAATTCTAAGGAAAAAAAAATGTTATCAAATAATGTAAAAGTGGAAGTTGGAAAACCAATTCCTAATTCCATGGAAAAAAATGGTTAATAAAACAGGGCTTTAATTCTATTCCACCGAGAGCAATTAATTCGAAGAAAAAATAAACATTCAAGAACACACAAAACTTATGTAGGTTCATCTCAATGTGAAACTACATACTCTCTCGTTACTGTAGTAATTCAATATGATGAAAAAATGTTTACAAGAAAATACTGCACTCGTATCTTCTCTACCTCTCTTTCTATCGTTTTGATGATATTAAGAATGTCTAAATACAACTCCCTAAGATAAATTAGAGCAAAATCAAATTTTGCAATGACTCTAATTCCTTAATAAAATTTTACAATAATACAAATTCCTAAACAATCTTTAACAAAATAAATAGGATCGACAATATTTGAGCTCCATAAAATGGCAATAATTAAAATCAACAACAAGGCTCCACAACAGGTTCGGCTCTCCAAACACACTCTATATTATTAATAAATAATGATTGCATTTAATAAGTTGCATATTTCAATACATTATTTCTCAAACTATTCAAATATATTTAGATTAATTGATTATTGACATATAAAAAATTATGTTAAATAAAATATGAGGGGAAATCAATAAATATTTTTTGATAAATTTAAAATGAAGGGCCAAAATAGAGAGCAATGTTAGAGTGCATAAAAATTTTGACTATCTAAATCTAAATATGCTCTCTATAATGCATAAAATGTTCTTTATAAATAAATGGAATTTTGGATATGCTCTTAGCTTTTATTTTATAAATAATTATGGGTGTTTTTGATTGTCAATATTGTTCATGAAAAATGTGTTTATTTACCCAAATTCGTACTTTGGTACTGTATGATTGTCATTTTTTCATGGACAACATTTTTCTACTTTTAGTTACGTGACTATATTTTTCTCAAAATTAAAGAAATATTTCCTTTAGGAGGGGTAAAATTTTATTTTCCAAAGAATTCACTCTCCCTTTCTCTCTCTTATCTATCCACTCTTTCTTATCTATCCACCAATAAAAAATGGGACAAGTATAATATTTTCTAGGTTTAAAATTAAATCAATTAAACACTTTTAATTCACAATTTACGTGCAAATAAGTTTTAGGTAATTAAAGTACCTAGAATTTACTCTCTTTTTTTTCCATGCAAATTCTATACTTATAATCAAACGCCAAATGTAATTGAAAGAAAATAAACATGGTACATACTTAGGAGAGGGCGGATTGACCTATAGCTAAAAGGCGGAAATCTTAGTAAGACAACTCTTGCTAGACAAGTTTATGACGACGTAGTTTTTATTTTACATCAGCTTTGCAAGACAGTAATGTGCAAGATCCTACTGGGCATTCTAGATTCCCTAGGAATTTGAACTGGGGAAATGCTTAAAGAGAGCAAAGAAAAATTAGAAAAACATTTGTATACAAATCTAAATTGTAGAAGGTATTTAATTGTAATGGATGACGTACGAGATACAATGGTTTGGGATGATATGTGAAACATTCACTTCAAAAGGACAAGAATGGGAGTCGAATCATGATGACTACTAAGCTTGAGAAAGTGGCTGGTTATGAAAATTCTTGTTCTCC